ATATATAGTTGTAATTAGATTAACAATATGTGAATCGAAAAGAAAATACATAATTGATTGTATTTATTATTCGGTACGTGTAGAATATAGAGGAATCCATTTGACTTTGGGAGGATATGCTCCTGCCCGTTATAAATGTTTTTCATAAACATTAAAAAAATATCAAAGTTATATGTGCTTACTGTCACACCTAAATGCTACCTGCGAATTTTTAGTGAAAAAGTTTAAGCATTTTGACGTAATGTGTCCTATGTGAAAAAACAAATCGAACGTCAAATGTTACTCTTAATTTTATTTTACATTGACGAAGCACTGCTATCCCATCCCATTTCTCATGAGAATTATCAAGCATGCCTGTTAGACTATCATGAACGTCTATAAAAAAAATCAGAATTTTTAAACTGTATTTACTATTTGTTTTGAATTTTTTGTTCATCCGGGGGCATATGCTCCCAGAGGCGAAACGGCCCCCTTAATGCTGGCCTTTTTTTTATACATGGTGACATGACGATGTGTTCAATGTGGCATAGTTGCACGCTAAAAGAAATGTTGAACTATCAGTATCAAATGCACTCATAACGTGTAATTTACTTTGGTTTTGTGAAGCATCTAGATGCTTTTGACCAATTTCTTATTTGTTTTTTGTCAGTTTTTTGCTTGATTTATTTATTATTTATTCTTTTCTTTTAAAAAATCATGATTTGTTTTTCAAATTCATCAACCTTTTTTATTTTTGAAGAATTTTAAAATTTCAAGCTTTGTGAAATACTTCTGAATTCACAATTTTTTTCAATACATGATTTTTTCCTTCAAATTTATGATCTTTTTAAATTTGGAATTCATGTACCTTTTCCAAATTTGGGATTTTCTGATGTTGCTAATCTTTTTTCAAATTCATGAATTGTTTTTGAATTGACAAACGTTTTTGGAGATTGTAAACTTTTCAAGTTCATGAACCTTGATTTTATGATCTTTTTTCAATTCCATGAATATGTTCAAATTCATGATATTTTTCAAAAATTAAAAAAATATCGGTTCTTTACTTGGATAGAAGACGAGCCATGCAACAAAATAGGAGGGGGAAAACTGGCTGGTCGAGTGTGGCAGACTTATTACTGGGCCGGCCCATGCAACAGTATGTTAGTGTGTTTTTTTTTTTTTTGCGAAACTGCCTGTTAGTGTTGTTGCTCAAAGTGCCGCCTGAAGCGCTGTAGAGGGGGTGCCGCTATGTGCCGCACATGGCTGCCACGTCTACAAGGTGGTTGTGGTAGGCCAACTCATGTGGAATTCGCTTGTCGGGCTGATGTGATGCTGACATCACTAGAATTTCTTTTTTAAGCACTCAAAAAAAAAGAATTTCTTTTTTTTACTTTTTTTAGATTTTACTTAAAATGAATATATTTCAAACCTTCAATTTACTTAATAAATTTAAAAATACAAACTTGAATTTTATAACATAGTATAATAAAAATAAGTTGATAATTTTAGTAAAAAAATGGTTGTGACAAAAAAATGTTCCCATGTGTCAAAAAAATTTATGCGGGTGCGACTGTTTTTAAAAAATATGTATTCATTTTAAATAAACTTTCATAATGTCAAAAAAATGGTCCCTGCCAAAGTGCAAGTCACATTTGATGGAAACGTTCCTGCGCTTGAAAAAATGTTTATAATATTTTATAAAATATATTTATAAACTTAAAAAAATGATCAGGTAGGTTAGAAAATGCTTAGTTCCATTAGAAAATTGTGTCGTGACATTTTCAGAAATATTCACGTGTTTCCAAAATATATCAGTTAAATTTCAAAAATGTTTATGCAATGTATGAAAATGTCCACGCAGTTTAATAAATATGTTCATTGTCATTTAAAAAACGTTCAATGTGTATATGGGAATATATTGTCACGTATTCAAAAAATTGTTCAAAACATGTATTTTTTGAAATGAATATCACATATATTTGAAAAATGTCCAGTGTGTATCGAAAAATAGTTTCGTGTGTGCTCTAAAAATGTATATTTTGTACTGAGAAAAGGTAGACATGTGTTCAATATAAAGAAATCATATAAAAGCCGACATAAAAAAAGGATAGCAAAGAAAACCAGAAAAGAAACAAAACAACCAAAGTAAAAAATTGGAAAAAAATCAATGAGAAAATATAGAATGAAAAGTAAAAAAAATGAAAAATGAAAAACCAAACAAATGAAAACCAACAGATAAAGAAAACAAAAGAAAATACAAAAGGAAAAAACCGAAGATAACTGGTCGACCGAACCTAGCAACCATATCACTAAACAATTTTCTATCAAAATGGGCCAGCCGCACATAGGCGATTTCCTTTTAGAAACCGACACAGGCATGCAAAGGTCGTCTTATTCAAAACCTCAATCATCACATCCCCTCTCTCCCACTTCACACCTCGGAACACACTGTTTTTATAGAGAGAAAGGCGTTTTCCCATCTTCTTAACCTGAAATCAAGGGGTACCCCGGGAAGAGATCCAGTGGAGACAGCTGGGCCTGTAGCTCAGAGGATTAGAGCACGTGGCTACGAACCACGGTGTCAGGGGTTCGAATCCCTCCTCGCCCACAGCCTTCCAAAAGGGGAAGGGCCTTTACTTTCCCCCTGAGGGTAGGGACACATAGGTGTCACGATGTAGAAGTGCTCTCGACGCAGCAACCCGCTCGCCTCAAGGCCAGCTGGGCCGCACCACTAGATATGTGTGTTCTTTTCTTTTCTCCAGTGTGAAGATCTTTGTTTTTTTTTCTTGTTCGCTTTCCTACTTCAATTATGTTTATATTTCCACATCACTCATCACAAGAATATTGTCTACGCATTATTATGGGACTGGTGGACAGCCCGCAACAAGATAAACGCAGGGGAACATGCCAAAACTACGGAGGAGTTATGTTACTTTATTCGTAAGCACATCAGGGAATTTACTAGCGCATCTAAAACTAACGTTATAAATCAAGAGCCAGCTCAAAATTGGAGGTGTCCTCCTGAGAATTTTGTGAAGATAAATTTTGATGCGGCGTTCCATGAGCAGCAGAATGATGGGGCGTTTGGCTACGTTATTCGAACTAATACAGGCGATACAATTGCGGCCGGTGCGGGTAAACTGAAGCATGTGAAAAGTGCGCTACCCGCTGAAGCTTTAGCATGCATTGCAGCTATTGAGGGGTCTTCAGATATTGGTATTCATAGGGTGCTGCTAGAGTCTGATTCCCAGCAGCTTGTCTACGCGCAGAAGCCGGGAGATGCGGATTTATCGGATATTGAGGTCCTATTCCGAGAAGCTAGGAGTTTATGTGTTTTGGCTTTCGGAAGTTATGATTTTATGCATTGTAAGCGTAGTTGTAATGCCGTAGCTCATGCTTTGGCGAAGTATGGTTTTGGTTCGGCTGAATCCTCACTAGTTTGGGGGGAACTTATGCCAAGTTTTGTTTTAGATTTGGTAGCCAGCGATGTTGCTGAGCCCAGTGGTTAATGAAATTGTTTTCCACCGTCAAAAAAATATATTTCCACATCACTAAAAAATGTTTGCTAAAAAAAATTAACCGCATATTATATATGGAAAAATTTACTTTGTTTATTTTTTAAATGGTCCATCGCATATTATAGTGTTGTTCGGAGAATGTAATTTGTTTTTGTTCTCACGGTTTTAAAAATGTTCATACATTTCAAAAAAGAGTATGTTCTAAAATATTTGTTTGCGCAATGTCAAAAAAAAATTTGTGGACGACATTTTGCTAGCCGCTCTGTCATGTGTGACCCTATGTTTTTCCCACTTCTCTTCATCAGCATCCTACTTCTCTTTGGCTCAACCCTGTGACCCTATGTTGGCTCAATCCCAAGCTCCCAGCATCACGAAGACCACCCCGAGGCCATTCCTAGCCGGCCAGATGACCACCTTGGCCCCGATGAGCAGCCTGTCGGAATTATCCTCCTTGAGCACAAGGTGTTCGAACAAAAGCCTGTAAGGTAAAATAATTCGTTTTCTCTCTTTTTTGCGATATGGAGCAGATTGTAATGGGAAGTATTGTGTTGTAGATGAGTTCATTTGAATCCTCTCTGTGTATCCTTCTCTGAAGAGCAATATGAAATGGACAAAGATGAGGACATTGCTTTGATCATGATGATGCACATGCATTAGAACAAGCGACCAAAGCATGATGGTTCCGTTGTTGGCTATGAGGTGATTTGTAGGTTGAGGCAAGATGGACACAATAGACCGATGCTCAACTATTTTGGTACAAATCCGATGTATTCAGAGCAATACTTTCAATGCCGGTTTAGGATGGCTCCAGATTTGTTCCATCACATGCCAACATAGTTTAATATAGTTGAAAAACGCAATTTTTTGGCAACAGTTTTACATCTACGATAGAAAATTTTCTAGCGCCCCAAAACCTTCTTTCTCCTTCCCTAAAATTCTTTTTGAGTATCAACTTTGACATCATGTGTTGAAGGCTTGAAGCTGCTCTAAGAAGCTATGTCTCCCTTGTGCAAGAGGGGGTAAAGGCTTGGAAAAAATAAATTGCGTGTTCATCATCCCGATGATGGATCCGGCTTGCCTGCTCCCTCTCTGTTCTCCCATCCGTGCTCTCACTTAAT